ACTGATGTGAATGAAGTATATGACCACTGGCGTTTAGTATCTGTCGTACTTTTCTGACTATTTGCTGCTCAGAGGTATCGCCGGTGTTGGTTATGTGAGAAAACTGAGAGCGTTTCCAACTGTAAGTGTCGCCACAGAGCCTACACGTCATACACACCGGGGTGTTATATAGGGTCACTTTTACAGGTTTGAGTATATGCGGGTTTTTTACGTCATCAGTCGAAGATATTTGTTGCAAGAGACTTCATGCTGGGAATGCACATATACCAACATGAGCTGTATTGATGTGCTGTTGGCTTATCAACTACCATGGAAGTAATCAGTCGCGCACAGAATAACGACAGAAACGTATCAATGTATCGGACTGCTCATGTAGATAAGGAAGCTTTGCCGACTGTTTATGAGTCTAAGTTTCAAATGAGGTTTACCTCCTGTTGACTGTAAGTCCCACATTCGAGAAGCTTATGCGTCTACTGCATGACGGGGGTGCTGACGGCGGTCTTGGACACCGTGATGATGCGTTGCAGTGATTTGAAGCCATTGGATCTGGATTCGAATTCTGACATGTGCTTCCAACTTTTTCCCTGTCATTATTTACATCGATTGATGCTTTAGGATCTTTACTTCATTAATAGGTGAATAAAAGACCATTAGATAATATATCTATTTGTGATATACTGGGTGAATGCCATGCTTATCTTGTTCTTGCACACTTGCTATTTTGAGTCACTCTGATCCATATTGCAACATATTGGAACTCCTAACATGGAGCTCCACATCCGGTGACGCGGCCAGGCGTGATGTCACGTGACCTACAACACCGTCAGAACCGGCCTACCCAGCATGCGCCAGTGTAATGTCCGCTGATTGTTTCCGGTTATAAGGCGGGAATGATTGGTTATCGATACACAGCCTCTTTAAGTCTATAAATCAGTACAACCTGATGCACCGACCGGTCATCAGTGGACTCTGGATCCTATTTGGTTTCCCAGATGGTTGTAGATCACCCCATAGCCCTGCGCCAGGCGATCAATCTCAACCGGGCCTCTACACCCTACTTCTTTTCCTAACTCATCTTCACTTCGCCAGTTTTTTTCCTAAATCAGAAACTTCAACATCTTAGATTTCACTCTCTAAAGCTAATTTAAAGACTTGTCTTAAATTTTAATCTTCCTTCTCAGCTAGGAGGGGCTAGATGTGTATTCAGATATGTGGACTACTGTCGGTGGGGGCCAACTACCGGCTCCTGACACTGCTGGTCCGTTATTACTGGGAGGTGCAAGGCCAGGGAAAGCTGGCAGTGCCAATCGATGTGGTAGTTATTGTCACTGTAATGTCTAACTCAACCAGAGGGGTCGTTGCCAATAACTGAGAACGGATTAACGGTTTTTTTTGCTGTCAGATTGAAATCACTTGGCTCCTTGATCAAAATTGAACCCATTTTATTGTTGAAATTATCACGTCATGTCAGCCTCTTTAGCGTTGTAAGGACAATCAGCGACTGTCAGATGAGATAAGATTGCACTAAGCACGCCAGCCCCGTATATAGGGGTATGATACCGGGGATGGAAACAGAGGCTCATTTATCGCAAGTACTTTATGGTTAAATTAACGACCTATAGACTGAGTGATCAGTTACTCTCTTCTACATCTGACATTAGATGGACTCAGACGGGTTAAACACACGCGTATCTGCCTGTAGTCGACCAGAACTACAATCCGTCAACTGTTGTATACTTCGGATCAAAATTCGTCGGCAAACGAAACTGCCACATATCCATTAAGCTATCCATCTTTTGAAAGAGAAGTTTCATGAATATTCATCCGGTACTGGCGCTTTGTTGTGCTTTATGTACCGATGCCAAGCCAGTCTGCCAATAAGTGGGTCACGGGTGGCCACGTGGGGAGACACGTGCACGGCCTATATCACTGTTGACTTTCTTCAAACTTGGTGCTCACAAGGCATCATACACTTGAAACATTGTCTAAAGAGGCATTCGATTCACAACTTGGGAACCGTTGACATGAAAACGTATTTGTGAATTGGTAGAATGGCTGAATAGGCAGTAAAGTGCAGTGCCGGGCTAAAAATTACATGCTTGAAAATTGGATTTGGCCAAAAACATACAAATGTTGTCAAAGCATTTCTAGGCTGAATGTCTGGAATCTGTGAGCCACTTCACACGTACCAGACAATACCAGGACCACGTGGTCCATTACGTCATCCTTAGCGTGCCTTGTTAAATCATTGCCACCGTCAAACATGGTTTATACTCTCATTTGCCCTGCAGTTCGTCTTCAGTACACGGGACAGACAGAGCTTACCTAGTCGTCTCCCAGGACGGTCATACACCTACGACAGCATTGCGGGTCAGAATGACCATCTTGTACTTCCTCCTCCCAGTTTATGCAGCCTTAATGCAATTGGTAGCGATTTTGTTTATCCCAGGAGACGAATGAGCGCCATGTATATCACCTGAATGCTGAACAGAATTGACATGATGAAGCGTATACACGTAAATAGTTGGAAGGAAAAGAAGACCAACTGTCGTGAAGTATTTCCAATATGTCCGTGAGGGTCATGATGGGGAGGGGTCACAAGTCAGTAAGAATTAAGGCTTTTTACTTTCGTCATACATTCGCTTCTGTCAGAGGATATGGCGTGAAAATGTTTGGTCAGTAGATATGTTGCAAACCAACATATAAGATATCAAATCATATTAATGTAGATCATCTGTCTGTACAGAAACCCGGGAACATTTGGATCTGCACTGGTTTAATTACCGTAACACAACACAAATCCTTGGTTTGGTTGTCTCCTGTATTGCCTCCATTACATTAAATTAGTATTTTGAATCAAAACATTTTATGAACATTTTACCTTAATCTTTTGCGATTAACAGTTACCATATCTGTCAATAATTGTTTTACACCAAACTGTACACCCATCTGGCTCCTCGTCCCCCCGAGAGACGATGTTGGCGATGCTGAAGATTCTGAAGAACGACAGGAGAGTAGTCAGCTTCTTTGGTTAACTCCCGTCTATAAAATGGAAGATGATCTGTTTACAGAACACTGAAAGCCTGTTCCAGACCAACATAAAAGATTGGACTCAACGTCGTAAAAATCGAACATTTAGTTTCGCTCTTTAATACTGTAATTCTAAGGTTGTGGCTAAAATTAAATCAAGAACATTCTGGAGCGTGATAGTTTTCGGGTTCGGGCACCTGATGATTACAATGTTTGCAGACAAGGGAGATATCACGTGAAAAGAACGTTGTCATGTCGCTACGGCGTCCTGGCAGTGCTTGGAGTGAATGTTATCACATGAGATGTTAATTGCATACGTAGCCAAAAGTTATTTTTCCTCGAAATCCCTAAAGACTGTGTGACAAAGACGACATCTAGTTTCCAATGTCAGCTTTCCGTCTGTTTGTTCAGCACAATGTTCCAGCTGCTTCTTTGGTATCGGTGTCTTTGGGTACATCGTGGTAACAGTGCAGTCACCTTGTACCTACTGTGCAGCGAAAAATCAAGGAGAGCGACACGACTTTGATCAGGGATAAGACATTCAAGTAAAACTTTTTAAAAACTTATGTAGTGGACAAAATTATGTCTAGTGAAACGTAACTTTGACTTAAGTCTCACCATAATTTTGTTTCCATGTTTTATTCGGGTGAACAAATGACTTGCCTTTGCATGTGTTTGTGACATGTACCACCTGTGGGGCAGGATATGCTGTTGGCAAGACACCTGGTATAATGGAAAGGGTTTTGTCGGTTGTATTTATGTCCTGGGTGCCGTTGTACAAAACAATCTTAGCGTTAAGTCTGTCGTAAGACTATGTTAAGGTGTGGTAGTTACAGTCACCTCAGCGCTAAGATCACTTTGTGCAAAAGCACCCTGATGAATCTTTACTTTCGACGAAACTTTCTTCGCAAGATCTTTGATTCGTCCATTCCTCCCAAGAGGTCGGTTCTGTGTAAACATTGCAGTGACCAGTAACCCACACTAGTAAACTAACGGGTGAAAGGAAGGATACACCATCGCCAATACCATCGCCGAAGCTCTACAAATGTATGGCCCAAGCCGCAATATAATCACCACTGTACAACCATCTCTTGATTGTGTCATGTTTAGCGACCTTCAAACATGGATGCAAAATTCCTGCCCCTCGGCAGTTCACTTGGTGAATCAAAATTAATGCGACAGATCATTGAGACCTGTATGACAGTCACTTCGATGCCACCATTCAACAAAGCGATCCTGGATGATCGTAACTCACTTAGCTTCACATAGGCTTGCGACAGATAACTTTGTTGCGCGAGGCACAGGGGTTGACATGTCTCGGGCCTATGTTTGTCATTGAAGGCATCTTTGAAGGGGAATGCAACATTGTGGCATATCTTCTGGTAATACGGACCTCTTCGACTTCGGTAATATTGTAAGCTACTCATCTGCTGACCTAGATGTCATCTAGTCAGGTTCATGGCTGGAGAAGGCACATCTTAGATGTTTCTTAATGATTTATATAGGTTTTACACCGCTATTAGCAACCTACCCACCAGGTAGACGCGTAAACTCACGATTCCAAACCTTCAGACTGGAACCTTCACAGTGGCAGTTGCAAATATTCCTTCTCGGGGTTTAGAAACGATCCCCAGTACATTCAGGCAAACTACCTGCAGCTGGAGTCAGACTCAAGTACTGGGTTCATCGTGTGTCGTCGTACCCCAGTATGGCTATGATGTTCGGGATATCAATCACAGGTTTATCTAGTCCACTCTAACTCATTCAAAGTCATCCGTCATATTACTGTAATATTGTGACGTCACACAACGACAGCAGCAAATTAGGAATTCAGACAACAGACATATTGACGAGAATAGAATCCTGTTTGATTTGGATATTTGTTTGTTAGTTTTTGCCACATGAGCTAATTAATATACCCACCCACTCACTTACATTGTGTCTCCTAGCTGTTACTTATTTCCCTTCAGTTTGGGCGCATCATGCGCTGCCCGGTGACGAAGTTCATCACGCACACGACGTCACACATCTGTTTCCTTATCCTCCTGGCGGCCGCCACGTTCCGCATCACCGAGTCAGGGGAGACAATCACCTCCACGACTGAGATGAATGAAACCAAGTACGCCCATCTCAGCAGCGAGGAGAAGATACAGAATATCTTGAAGGAAACCCTCCGCCCAGCCAGTACTCTCATCACTCATGTGCAGATCTGTATAGTATTTTGGATATTAGGTGAGTAAGGGCACCTGCAGATCTGTATAGTATTTTGGATATTAGGTGAGTAAGGGCACCTGCAGATCTGTATAGTATTTTGGATATTAGGTGAGTAAGGGCACCTGCAGATCTGTATAGTATTTTGGATATTAGGTGAGTAAGGGCACCTGCAGATCTGTATAGTATTTTGGATGTTAGGTGAGTAAGGGCACCTGCAGATCTGTATAGTATTTTGGATATTAGGTGAGTAAGGGCACCTGCAGATCTGTATAGTATTTTGGATGTTAGGTGAGTAAGGGCACCTGCAGATCTGTATAGTATTTTGGATGTTAGGTGAGTAAGGGCACCTGCAGATCTGTATAGTATTTTTGAAATTAGGTGAGTTTAGGGCACCTGCAGATCTGTATAGTATTTTGGATATTAGGAAAGTAAGGGCACCTGCAGATCTGTATAGTATTTTGGATGTTAGGTGAGTAAGGGCACCTGCAGATCTGTATAGTATTTTGGATATAAGTTGAGTAAGGGCACCTGCAGATCTGTATAGTATTTTTGAAATTAGGTGAGTTTAGGGCACCTGCAGATCTGCAAAGTATTTTCAAAATTAGATGTATTAGGGCACCTGCAGATCTGCATAGTATTTTTGAAATTAGGTGAGTAAGGGCACCTGCAGATCTGTATAGTATTTTTGAAATTAGGTGAGTTTAGGGCACCTGCAGATCTGTATAGTATTTTGGAAATTAGGTGAGTAAGGGCACCTGCAGGTTTGTATAGTATTTTGGATATTAGGTAAGGGCACCTGCAGATCTGTATAGTATTTTGGATATTAGGTGAGTAAGGGCACCTGCAGATCTGTATAGTATTTTGGATATTAGGTGAGTAAGGGTACCTGCAGATTTGTATAGTATTTTGGATGTTAGGTGAGTAAGGGCACCTGCAGATCTTTATAGTATTTTTGAAATTAGGTGAGTTTAGGGCACCTGCAGATCTGCAAAGTATTTTCAAAATTAGATGTGTTAGGGCACCTGCAGATCTGCATAGTATTTTCAAAATTAGATGAGTTAGGGAACCTGCAGATCTGTATAGTATTTTGGATATTAGGTGAGTAAGGGCACCTGCAGATCTGTATAGTATTTTGGAAATTTGGTGAGTAAGGGCACCTGCAGATCTGTATAGTATTTTGGATATTAGGTGAGTAAGGGCACCTGCAGATCTGTATAGTATTTTGGATATTAGGTGAGTAAGGGCACCTGCAGATCTGTATAGTATTTTTGAAATTAGGTGAGTTTAGGGCACCTGCAGATCTGCAAAGTATTTTCAAAATTAGATGTGTTAGGGCACCATCAGATCTGCATAGTATTTTTGAAATTAGGTGAGTTAGGGAACCTGCAGATCTGCAAAGTATTTTCAAAATTAGATGTGTTAGGGCACCTGCAGATCTGCATAGTATTTTCAAAATTAGGTGAGTTAGGGAACCTGCAGATCTGCATAGTATTTTCAAAATTAGGTGAGTTAGGGAACCTGCAGAACTGTATAGTATTTTGGATATTAGGTGAGTAAGGGCACCTGCAGATCTGTATAGTATTTTGGATATTAGGTGAGTTAGGACACCTGCAGATCTGTATAGTATTTTTGAAATTAGGTGAGTTAGGGAACCTGCAGATCTGTATAGTATTTTTGAAATTAGGTGAGTTTAGGGCACCTGCAGATCTGCATAGGATGTTGGATGTAAACTGACGCAAACATATCTGTAAAGTATTTGGGATATTATGTCAGTACGGGTACCAACAGTGTTTGGGCTACCATGTGCGTTAGGGTGTGCGTGTGCGTGTGCATGTGTGCGTGTATCGTGTATCGAGTACATGAATATGAATGTAATGTATTCTGTAGTACCCATTATTTGAAAATTGGAGTCTTTTATTAGATACATCCGGTAAAATGCATACATAACTAACAAATAATTTAATATGTATATAGCATTTGTAATTTGAGCTAAATTTGTGCTTTCGTGAATTCATGTGTATGAATGACAACATGTTGCAGAGGTGAGTATTACCATGTTTGTATTGTTTTGGCCTGTATACTATAATACGTGATCTTCCAGTGAAATAACACATTCAAATGTATTTAGAAGGTTCCTTAGAGTTATTTGTAAAAATGTGAAATGTTTTGTATCATTTTATTAACTCCATTTATGAATTTGATCTCATTCTGCGGTTTCTAAGCATGTTTTATCGGCATGATGAGAATGCTGAATTAGGAGACCTATTACCCTACTTTGTGCTTCTGCTTGTATGCATGCGGGTAGACCAGTGTCACAACCATCTGCTATAGTTATGCGAATGAGGCCTATATCTTCTTACTGCGCATGCCTATTACGACCTGTAGACCAGTGTTCTACAACCTGACTAGTCCCCGTCACAAGGTAAGTGCACGCAGCGACCGCCCGGACAACGCCACCTGGCTGTAAACTAACGTATTAATCATACTGACATTGTCCTGAAATGCATGCCCACGTCCTTTATATGATGCAGTTGCCGTCCTAGATCCTCTCGACAGTCACCATAGTGACTACAGCTGTCACGCCCCTTCCCTTGCCTTCGATAGAGTCACGATAGTATATCCTACAGCTGTCACTCCCCCTTCCCCTCCCGTCGATAGATTCACCTTGGTATATCCTACAGTTGTCCCTCCCCCTTCTCCTTCCGTCGATAGAGTCACCTTGGTATATCCTACAGTTGTCCCTCCCCCTTCCCCTGCCTTCGATAGAGTCACCTTGGTATATCCTACAGTTGTCCCTCCCCCTTCCCCTCCCGTCGATAGATTCACCTTGGTATATCCTACAGTTGTCACTCCCCCTTCCCCTGCCTTCGATAGAGTCACTATAGTATATCCTACAGTTGTCCCTCCCCCTTCCCCTCCCGTCGATAGATTCACCTTGGTATATCCTACAGTTGTCCCTCCCCCTTCCCCTCCCGTCGATAGATTCACCTTGGTATATCCTACAGCTGTCCCTCCCCCTTCCCCTCCCGTCGATAGATTCACCTTGGTATATCCTACAGTTGTCACTCCCCTTCCCTCCCTGCCTTCGATAGAGTCACTATAGTATATCCTACAGTTGTCCCTCCCCCTTTCCCTCCCGTCGATAGATTCACCTTGGTATATCCTACAGTTGTCACTCCCCCTTCCCTTGCCTTCGATAGAGTCACGATAGTATATCCTACAGCTGTCACTCCCCCTTCCCCTCCCGTCGATAGATTCACCTTGGTATATCCAACAACTGTCCCTCCCCTTCCCCTCCATCGATAGATTCACCTTGGTATACCCTACAGCTGTCACTCCCCCCTTCTCCTCCCGTCGATAGATTCACCCTTGGTATATCCCTACAGCTGTTCCCCTCCCCTCCCGTCGATAGATTCACCTTGGTATATCCTATTGGTATATCCTACAGCTGTCCCTCCCCTTTCCCTGCCTTCGATAGATTCACCTTGGTATATCCTACAGCTGTCACTTCCCTTCCCCTGCCGTCGATAGAGTCAAGATAGTATATCCTACAGCTGTCCCTCCCCTTCCCTCCTGTCGATAGATTCACCTTGGTATTTCCTACAGCTGTCCTCCCCTTTCCTCCCGTCGATAGATTCACGATAGTATATCCTACAGCTGTCCTCCCCTTTCCTCCCGTCGATAGAGTCACGATAGTATATCCAACAGCTGTCCTCCCCTTCTCCTCCCGTCGATAGATTCACCTTGGTATATCCAACAGCTGTCCCTCCCCCTTCTCCTCCCGTCGATAGATTCACCTTGGTATATCCTACAGTTGTCACTCCCCCTTCTCCTCCCGTTGATAGATTCACCATGGTATATCCTACAACTGTCCCTCCCCCTTCTCCTTCCGTCGATAGATTCACCTTGGTATATCCTACAGCTGTCCCTCCCCCCTCTCCTCCCGTCGATCGAGTCACTATAATATATCCTACAGCTGTCCCTCCCCCTTCCCCTGCCTTCTCCTCCCGTTGACAGAGTCCCACCAGTATATCCTACAGCAGTCAGTCATCACCCGTCGACAGAGTGACAAAAGTATACCCCACAGCTGTTATTCTTCCCCTGTTCACCTTGGTTTACCCTACAGCCGTCGGTCTTCCCTAGTCGATAGATTCTCCTTGGTATATCCTACAGCTCTCAGTTTTCCCTTGTTGTTGATGTCACCTTTGTATAACGTACAGCAGTCGGTCTCCTCCGTGATAGAATCATCTTTGTTTAACCTACAGGCTACAAACCACCATCTCCATAGAGCCAACTTGGTATACCTAATGGCAGTCTGTCTACCCCTCTATGAAGTCACTCTAGTATATCCCACAGCTCCCCGCCTAACTCCTCCATAGAGTCACCTTGGTATACCTAATGGCAGTCTGTCTACCCCCTCTATGAAGTCACTGTAGTATATCCCACAGCTCCCCGCCTAACTCCTCCATAGAGCCAACTTGGTATACCTAATGGCAGTCTGTCTACCCCCTCTATGAAGTCACTGTAGTATATCCCACAGCTCCCCGCCTAACTCCTCCATGGAGTCACCTTGGTATACCTAATGGCAGTCTGTGTACCCCCTCTATGAAGTCACCTTAGTATATCCCACAGCTCCCCGCCTAACTCCTCCATAGAGTCACCTTGGTATACCTAATGGCAGTCTGTCTACCCCCTCTATGAAGTCACTGTAGTATATCCCACAGCTCCCCGCCTAACTCCTCCATAGAGCCAACTTGGTATACCTGATGGCAGTCTGTCTACCCCCTCTATGAAGTCACTGTAGTATATCCCACAGCTCCCCGCCTAACTCCTCGATAGATTCACCTTAGTATACCTGATGGCAGTCTGTCTAACCATGGAATAGCCTACAGCTGTCAGCGTAACTCTTCAATAGACTCACCTTAGTATATCATACACCCGCCAATCTAGATACACTCTGGTATATCCTGCAGCTGTGCGTTTACATAAACTCACCTTGGTATATCCTACAGTTGTGAGTCTAGATAAACTCACCTTGGTATAACCTAGAGTTGTGCGTCTAGATAAACTCACCTTGGTATATCCTTCAGTTGTGAGTCTAGATAAACTCACCTTGGTATAACCTAGAGTTGTGCGTCTAGATAAACTCACCTTGGTATATCCTTCAGTTGTGAGTCTAGATAAACTCACCTTGGTATATCCTTCAGTTGTGAGTCTAGATAAACTCACCTTGGTATATCCTTCAGTTGTGAGTCTAGATAAACTCACCTTGGTATATCCTTCAGTTGTGAGTCTAGATAAACTCACCTTGGTATATCCTTCAGTTGTGAGTTTAGATAAACTCACCTTGGTATATCCTTCAGTTGTGAGTCTAGATAAACTCACCTTGGTATATCCTTCAGTTGTGAGTCTAGATAAACTCACCTTGGTATATCCTTCAGTTGTGAGTTTAGATAAACTCACCTTGGTATATCACACAGCTGTGAGTTTAGATATATTCACCTTGGTATATCACACAGCTGAGCATCACCCCCTCATCAACCACCTCATCTTGTTCATATCAGACGCACTCTACCCTGGCGTTCATTGACCCACCCCGAATACGACCGCCACTCCCGGAATATCGTGCCTGAAATATTCGTTAAATGTTTATCAGTTGATCTGAAAAATACACCACCTGGAGCGGCTACATGGTCTGAAATAATCTCTCAGCTACGGGCACGTGCAACTACGACAACAAATACTGCCAACATGACTACATAGATAGACACTGTCAACAAGACTAGGTGCGACTGCATAGATAGACACTGCCAACAAGACTAGGTGCGACTACATAGATAGACACTGCCAACAAGACTAGGTGCGACTACATAGATAGACACTGCCAACAAGACTATGTGCGACTACATGGATAGACACTGTCAACATAACTACATAGATAGACACTGTCAACAAGAGTATGTGCGACTACATAGATAGACACTGTCAACATAACTACATGGATAGACACTGTCAACAAGACTAGGTGCGACTACATAGATAGACACTGTCAACATGACTAGGTGCGACTACAATAACGGAAAATACTAGCCCGCCAGTGTCGGACTATGGAAACTCTCGCTGTCAGCGCCATTATCTGACTTTAAGAAGAGAATTAACGTTGTGATGCATTATCTGATTTGTAGAAAAAGACGCTACAGGCGGCGAGACAATATCTGATTTGAAGCAAAGGACATTGTAGGCGAGACATGATCTGTCTGTGGGAAACAGTCGTTGTAACCGCGACATTCTACATTTATAGCAATGCGCCACATCAACGTGACATCACCAGACTGTGACAGCAGACACTGTTTACCACGACTTGGAATCAGACACCGGCTACAATACTCTGTCTACTGGCATAAAAGTCGAACTCTTTTCCAGTAACTTAATCAGAAAACCGCAGCATAATTACATTACAGTTTTTAGACTCTCGATCAGTTTCAGCACGTTTGACCTATTGCTGCGCAAGAAAAACATAAAATGTCAGTAATATCGTCCTGAAACTAGCCATCCATCATCTTACAAAGATGAAGCTCCGAATTACAATATTTCATTAGGATGATGACACACAATCTTCCAGTCGGCTGTATGGTGTCGGTGAAGATTCCACAAATGTTTGTAAAATGCATGTAAAGTCTGAAAATGGGTTTCACGACAAATCACATTGCTTCTGGCTAAATACTTCTGACTGACTGCGTCTTCCCTTCAGTTCTCAGCGAGTGTTGATAGGAAGACGGATACAGGGGCCACTTCCGGCACTGGTTGGGTGAAGAGCAAAATGTACTGACGTTTTTCTACATGCCGTAACGAGGTTCTACACGCTAATGAAACCACATGTATATGCAAAGACGTCATTGTTGAATCTTACAACTATAATGTTGTATCAGACTAGAATGAAACAGACAAACGTGTGGACAAACTTTCAGAACAAAACAAAATATGGGGTTTTGCAACCTTCTTTTTCTCCAAAGTTTCGAGACGGAAGTAAGAGTCTTATCAAGATCCAAATTCAATATTTTCGATAGAAACTGATAAACATTCCACGAATGTGTACCCCGTTCCCACAGCGATGTTAACACCGCGACTGTCATTGTCGTAGACGCACGCGCAGCATCCACCACAGTTGTCGGCGTGCCCTTCATGATAGGCTAGAGGACCGCGTATCTAACGGGAATAATATGTGCACCGTTTGTCAAGTGAGAAGGTAACACTTTGCATGAATCTATTCTACTCCATTTCATTGCAGGTCTTCTATGGATTGAATGCAAACAAGTGTACATCTCAGGAGCCCGGGCTTACACCACCGACTATTATAACTTAGTTGATTTTAGTGTCTTATCTATGTATCTAGCGTCCTACGTTCTACGGTTCTTCACGGAGTACCAGGTATCGGAGGCTGACAGGTAAACACAGTTATCTCCCCTTCCCTCCTCACCCTTCAGTCTAGCCATGTAGATAGCTCCGGCTCTCTCTCATTTCAGGTGTATTATGGATTGAGTGCAAGCAGGTGTACCACTCAGGCGCCCGATCCTATACCATGGACTATTATAACTTTATGGATTTCAGTGTGCTATCAATGTATCTTGCTTCCTATGTGTTGCGGTTCTTCACCGAGTACAAGGTATCGGAGGCCGACAGGTAACCAACCCTCTCCTATCGCGACTTGCTGCCGGGTTTCTTTGTGTGTGTGTGTGTGTATGTGTGTGTGTGTGTCGTTCGTCTCTCTATCTTGAGGCACCAACATCTAACACAATACTACAGTTTCCACGTGTTTAAATACATTCTACAAATAGAGCACACGCTAAGGAAGATTGTACTCTGATGTATCGCAATACATGTGCTCCGATACTCCTACGATATGTGTCAAGTTCGGTTCCGAGATAGTGACGTAGCGCCATCAACTCTGATATTGCTGTAAAGCTCTAAAAGCGATACTGGTCCTCTTCCCTTTCGCCTGGAGATTATTTACGAATATTGCTGTAATGTCATTGCAATGTACGATATGGGAGTCATAGTGTGCTTATAGGTCGTGACGACCCCTGAAGATCCGGGTTAGAATTGGTCTTCAGCAACCCATGCTTGTCGTTAGAGACGACAACCGGGACCGGGTGGTCAGGCTCGCTGACTTGGTTGACACATGCAATCGTATCCCAATTGCGTAGACCGATGTACATGCTGTTGACCACTGGATTGTCTGGTCCAGACTCGATTATTACAGATTGCCGCCATATAGCTGGAATATTGCTGGGTGCAGCGTTTAACAACCAACAAATACATAATCATAGGTCGTGTATCAGAAGCTCGTAGTTGATCGAGGGGAGTGAAATATGAAGACAAAAAATGTTCATGTTCAGACATTTCTTTTTTATTTGCCGATATAAATGATGTTATCCGTCTTGACACTGGGAATAATCGATCTATAGTAACAAACGAATGAATGCGATCCCATGCGTATTTGTTTGATAAATACGATCCTCTTTAATTTCATATCGGAGATAGGATTGATGTTGTCTTCAGACATGCAGGTTCCTGCTCTATCTAAAGTCCATACAGGCAATATGTTTATATCGACAAACACGAACCGTCCGACAGCCTAATCCAGCAACGTAGCTAACGTCGTGGGCTGCGGCACTACATCGTCATTACATACACTGGGCACATTGTCAGTGTGGCACGTTGTGAATCCGTGAAGTGTCTCAGTGTCAGTATTAAGGTGGCACATTATGCATGGAGAGTGACAGAGAGTCGGGGCACAGTAGCTGGGTGGCACGTTGTGAATCCGTGAAGTGTCTCAGTGTCAGTGTTAAGGTGGCACATTATGCATGGAGTGTGACAGAGAGTCGGGGCACATTGTCAGTAGTTGGGTGGCACGTTCTTCATCTGGGATGCGTCTGGGTGTCAGGGCGGATTGTCAGTGGCTGGGTGGCACGTTGTGTATCCAGAGTGTGCAAGCCGCATGTCGTCTGCTGTTCGAACCGTAATAAAACTTGCAGCACCGGAAGTGAACCAACACATATCAGGTATTGTCTAGTATTTCACCGGAAGTGATTCTTTACACACAATATTGTCCAGTGTTCATGGAAGCACCTTTTGTTGTATCAGAACGCCCTCTACCCGTTGCAGCATGAATTGAGGTTAAGGTCGCAGCACATTCTTTCAGCATAATGTGAACTTGAACCATATGTCATGACCTTCCTATCAAGGACACTGTCTCGGATACAGGGCGAACTGGGAGACTAAACCGAACTCTCTTCTTTGCATGTAAATGTAAATGTATCTATCTAACACACAAACGACCGTTTGTTCATCTCGCAAGTAATGTCACATCTTGATGTAATACACAAAGACAGGATATACTTAACTTTATTAAATACAACAGGTATAGCGTTAAATTATACATATGAAAGGACAATTGTTATTCCCTGAACCATTGCCGGCCATCGTTAACAGATGATGCTTTTGTCACCGGAAATGAAAAAAGGGTACATTATATAAGACTTCAAGCAGCTTGACGGAATTGGCAGTTTAAAGTGAACATTGCATAGGCGGATCCAGAGGGGGAGTGCAGAAGTGCGCCCCCTGTTGTCCTGAAAGTTTATTAAATGACCATTCAAACTCGGGTGAAAATGAAGTGTGCAACCCCCTTTTTCTCAATAGTGTGCAACCCCCACCCCACCCCTTTCTCAAAAGCTGTATCCGCCCCTGCATTGTAGTTTTCTTATATGATGGTTATCTTGATACCCGGAACCAACAGAATATGTAGACGTATCTGCTATATTTACCCACCCAACCCCGTGGTGGGGTAACAAGGTGATAAAGGCTATTGTAACCATGAAATGAATCGTCATAAACGATACATTGCGCTGTCGGAGTTCAACTTAACGAGATTCCATTACATTGATGTCGTAACGAAACACTAATAAGTTATGTGCAAAGTATCCTTCCCACATCCATTCTGGTGCTACAGAATAATGTCTTGACTCCCGCCTCGTCCATGATGAAAGGTTATCCTCTGGCGCTCGCCGCGTTCATGCGGGCGTTAGGTAATTGACTGCCCGGTCCTCTCTATACTACAGGAATGCTAATAGGATATCGAACATTTTCCACAGCCAAATGAAACATCAGAAGTGACGTACTAAAATAAATAGCTCATCGTAAGGCGAAGTATACACAGTCACTTTATAATGTAAATTTTTTTGCCACAATGCACACAAGTATTCACAATAAGATATATCGTTCTATTTATAACAATTGTAATTTGTTCCGCAATATCATTTTGCAATATGTAATAGCGTCGCTGTGTACACATATCGTGTTGTATTGCAGGACGTCGAATGGCACAAATCGGGCGAGAGAACTCCTTATGCAACAAAACCACACATACTTCCATCTTCTGGTTGCTGATATCAAGAACCCGAACCACAGGATCAATTACTTCATGGAGGCATGTAAGTCAATGGGGGTGAAGTTTATCGTTACACAGCTCCCCTGGGTGCTCGTTTTTATGTGCTCTTCGACATTGTGGGATCATAACGGCGAACTTACACATTGGTCGAGTACATCCAACAGGGCGAAGTACTGTACACAGTTGGTTTAGTGTGGTACTGATCTAAATTGGCGCTGTACAAAGTTGACCGTCAGCTGCACCAAGTCGGCGTAGCTCTGTACAACCTTAGCATAGTTCTTACAAAGTTAGCATAGCGCTATACAAAGTCGGCATAGGTCAGTGCAAGTCGACACAGCGCTATACAGCGTTAGCATAACTCTGTACAACGTTTACAAAGCTCTCTATAAACCCGTTACTGTGCATCAAAGGATCGAATGAATCTCCCTGTCGCTGGTGCAGCGTTGTGTGTCTATGTTAATATGGTTGATGATAAGATGCATGGAGACAGGACATGGACGGACATATTTCAATCTGATATGATTCCACCTGCCATTGCAGCACGGTTCCATTGGGAAGCAAACGACCCTGAGATTGTCTCGGACGTCTTGTTCGCCATTGCCAACGTCATCAGCTTCGCGCGCACCACCTACCTCATGCCAGCCTTCGAGGTGCTGGGCCCCCTGCAGATATCCCTTGGGCGCATGATCGGCGATATCACCAGGTTCATGGTGCTGTTTACCCTGGTGAGTACAATATATACATGGGTGAATCAGTGTCTGTTACCCTGGTGAGTACAGTATATACATGGGTGAGTCAGTGTCTGTTACCCTGGTGAGTACAGTATATACATGGGTGAGTCAGCGTCTGTTACCCTGGTGAGTACAGTATATACATGGGTAAGTCAGCGTCTGTTACCCTGGTGAGTACAATATATACATGGGTGAGTCAGCGTCTGTTACCCTGGTGAGTACAATATATACATGGGTGAGTCAGCGTCTGTTACCCTGGTGAGTACAATATATACATGGGTGAGTCAGTGTCTGTTACCCTGGTGAGTACAGTATATACATGGGTGAGTCAGCGTCTGTTACCCTGGTGAGTACAATATATACATGGGTGAGTCAGCGTCTGTTACCCTGGTGAGTACAATATATACATGGGTGAGTCAGTGTCTGTTACCCTGGTGAATACAGTATATACATGGGTGAGTCAGTGTCTGTTACCCTGGTGAGTACAATATATACATGGGTGAGTCAGTGTCTGTTACCCTGGTGAGTACAGTATATACATGGGTGAGTCAGTGTCTGTTACCCTGGTGAGTACAGTATATACATGGGTGAGTCAGTGTCTGTTACCCTGGTGAGTACAGTATATACATGGGTGAGTCAGTGTCTGTTACCCTGGTGAGTACAGTATATACATGGGTGAGTCAGTGTCTGTTACCCTGGTGAGTACAGTATATACATGGGTGAGTCAGTGTCTGTTTCCGGTGCTACCGTAAACCTACGTATTTCAAGCCAGTGTTTTATAACACAGGTGTCACATGTAGACCAAGGTGCTACAATTTCCGTTAGCGTGTAAGAAAATATATGATCCTGGGTTCGAATCCCGGATTCGCCCTGAATACTTTTCAGTTTGTCAGCCTCACATACTTCAAACGCCACTAAGGGCTTTCCTTGCACGTCAAACTGACACTCCTGGATATTCTATCTCCTGTCTCCTGTTTCAGTACTGTTAAACACAAACTCTGTCTACAACAGGTACTCTTCGCCTTCATGGTGGGTCTGCACAACTTGTACTGGTACTACGGAGCGCAGAAAATCAAGATGGAGATTAATGGCAATCTCGTCAACGCCCACGCAGCGAAAGCATTCCAAGGGTAAGTCCTAAACTGACGGTCAGCCCCACGTAATATCCTTGACAGGGAGCCATCGTATCGGGCGTTCGTTCGAAGCGCTGCTTAAAACCAAATGTGCCTTACATTAATGTGCAACTCTCGTCGTCATCCAGTTTTTCTACACGTTCTAAACTATAGTTATAAAAGTTGTTACATATCCAGATCACATGTTTCTCTTGGTCTTCCAGCCTTTCACTATCGGTCGATGGCTTCCTTTGATGTAATTTAACTGTTACCAGCAGTCTACGTGACGTGAGGCGTTACTGCTTGCACACGGCAGTTAAAGTGAGCGGAAAGTAGAACGAGGGCTATAACCTGAAAAAAACTCTCTCCTAAATGTTTCCATATCAAAATATATATTCCAATTCCTACTATGTAGCTTACCCTTGAATGACATCCTGCAAGCAACACGCAGGGGTGGTTATGCTCCTTGTCAAATTAATGTTTCTGGTTCCCGAAGTGGGTCTATTTGATGGTTCATCATCAATACGTACTTTCCGTCGGTCTCACTATGAATAGGAATACCATTAAAGTAAATAAACGTATTTCGAAAACTTCGAAGCAGTGAATCATGATTGATTTACCCTAAATAGATATTTCAGCTAAAGTACAACTGTAGGCATATCCAAGTTCCAGTTGCCTGCTTCACAGTTGGTAGATCGTTAGTTCCAAACTCGCTGGCAGGGGAATATACGCGTGTTGCCACCGGAAGCTGTCAGGGGTATTCACGAACGGCCATTCATACTTCTGGGGGTCTAATTCCTGCAAACACTTTAAGGGTTATGTGCCAATCAGTCAATATTTTGAGATAACATGCGGCGCTATAACGCAATTCAGAGTGACGTTTGCATGTCGGATTTCATTACACTTGATACAAGCTCCTCTTGGCTGAACACTGGCTCGTCTTCCCTGAGTAGGGGTGCTTCACGGAGACGACAAGTTGAGCGTGGGGGTCAAGCATGGTACGGAGACATTTAATACTCTTAAAGGATTCAAAAAAGTGTTTGGAGGGGAAGCGGATAAAAGGTTTAGGGAAAAGGCCATGTGTGTTGGATTGGCTGCCTTGAGGGATGTAGGTGGGGCAGTCATTACATGCGGGTAGGGAGGTGTAGCTGGGCCTAGCTGGGTTTACAGGGGTATGGATGGGTGGACACTGGAATCTGGGTGGGTGTGACGTTGTACACGTGGTGTGGTGTTGGTGAGGCTGAAAACATGTTGGTGAATGACGGTGGGGTGGAGGGTACATGAGGAGGGGCGAGAAGCTGTAAACGTGGGTTTATGGAACGAGGCGCATTTTCATCTTAATAACTGCAGAGGTTGGTAATTTGTATGAAAGGTAGGTAACTAGTTGGAGAGGGTGGGGATTAATAGCAAAGACAGATACCTAGCAGCACAGGTAGTCTAGTGTACTTCAAGCAAAGGGTAGATTCACTTACTGCGTCTCGTGTTTACCAGGAATGTGCATGGTTCGAGACTAACCCCAGACAGTAAGTTAGTATTACCACTTGAATGCGCTACTGCATCTGGTTCCCGTATGGGAAACAGCCATTGCTGCAACTCGTACATCACCCAGACCCCATCCCGGACACCAAGCTCCGGCTGTAACTGGACAAGGGACAATTGATACAAATCCGATAAAGGAAGCTTTTAGATCAACGTTAATGGCGACTGCACGCCTGATAATGAAGTTATGTCTTTATGAGGGACATCTGCAGGGGGAGCTACTCGAGTGTCCGGTACACAAAGACATTAGTCCAGGGTATGGGGTCAAGCATGGACAGGGGACAACGAGTAGTCGAGAAGGGATCCTCACAATTCCTGTAACCCATTCTGTGGGATGGGATAGAGAGGTGTGTTGTGGTAGAACTATGTGGGTGGAGAGGGGGCAGCAATATACTCCTGATGTGTAATATACGCTAGACAAGAAAATGCATACTCCCGTTGCGATATACACAGTATATACTTCCCTTGTGATATCAATAACATATACATCCGATATGATATACACAAGAGAATATAATATATAATCCCGATTTGATATACACAAGAGAATATTATTATACTCCCAATGTGATATCCACAATATATACGGGGCGGTGGGGTTGCCAAGTGGTTAAAGCGTTCGCTCGTCACACTGAAGGCCCGGGTTCGATTCCCCACATGGGTTCAATGTGTAAAGCCCATTTCTGGTGTCCCCTGCCGTGATATTGCTGGAATATTGCTAAAAGCGGTGTAAAACCGAACTCACTCACTCACAATATACATGTATACTCCCGATGTGATATACACATTACATACTCCCGATGTGATATACCTACTATATACACCCGATGTTATATAAACCCGATGTTATATACACCCGATGTTATATACACGAAATATATATTATTAGTGTGACCAGAACAGTTAATCGAAAGATCAAGAGATACGTTAAATAGCGGCAAACACCGCTCACCTGAAGCTACAAAACAGCAAACTGTTCGATATTTCGTCCGACCATCTCTTTCCCTAGTACATGCTTCAGTGCGGTCAGACATACTGCCTAGCAATGATGTTAGGAAATCATGAGTCATACTGTCCCAAAATCTCACCACCTCTGCTTTCATATCACATAAACTTTTTATTGATATTTTCCTTCCCCAAATAGTTTCAGTTAGGTCCAGGTTGAGATTGTAGCTGTGCAATTCGAGGAGTGTTATACTTGTTAATCCATTCCTGGAAATGATTCGCTCTATATCTGGGTTATTGTCTTGCTAGAATACTCATCCATCACCGTACAGACCTTGCGCTGTTGGGAGGAGATGTCCCAGTACAGTGTCCGCGGCACTAGCCATGTTACCTCCACATACCACAATGGTGAGGTGCCAAACATAGGCACTGCACTCCACTCATGAAATTTAAGACTTTGGATGCTGATAAATTGTACCTTTTGTCCACATGTATATACAGATTGGATACAGCCACACTGAACGTTCATCTGAGTACACAACATTATCCCAAATGAATTTCCATGCTACAAACACCAGTTAAAACGTCGTTTCTGCTGTTCAGTTTTGGAGTGGTCCACATCCTTGTGATGTCTCCATTGCATGCAAATGCATTCGCTCTTTAGGAACATGAGCTGTTCCTCTAATATGTTCATGCCTAATACCTCTGCTGATCTGACTCCACGATGACATTATCCAGAAATACAGTTTCTCTTTTCCAAAGGTGTCATTCCGCAATGGTCTTTTGCAGTTGGTGAGCTTGTTTACCAAGGGAGACAACTCTGGTCATACTAATTAATATGATATGCAGACTTGTCTCCTTTAAATCAAAGTGCAAGAATCTTTTTCATTCAATTAACCATTTGATTTTGTTAATATTGATGCCTTAAGTGGTATAAAACATTCTGATTAATTTCTGGTCACACTTTGCATCAGATACACACGCAAGAGATTGCATACAATCCGAGTCATATTTACCAAAGACAATATATGCTCCCTATGTGTTATACATTGAGGAGATTATCTAATGTGATATGCACAAGAAAATGTATACTCCCGATGTGATATACACAACATATACCCCCGATGTGGTGGGGATACTTTGGTTGTCGTGTCCAAGGACAATCCGTCCATCTCATGGATTCGCCCCAGCTTTGTTGACATGACATAAAACGCCGTATGTAAAGATAGTCTTTGATGGTGTCTTAGCGCAAAACAAGCGGATGTCCATCTGACATTGGCGCAATTGCTTTACTATCTGAATGTTTTGACAAATAGAGTAATCCCCTCACGCCACGCTGAGTTTATGGGAAAGAGTAAAATGAAACTAAACGTTTGGGATCTCTGTGGCAATCAGCGAGATGATTGACTACACCACTCATAGGCAGGGTCGTAACTCTGTCTTCATGCGGGGAGATTTATATCAGGTAATTATACCCAGACACGGCAGGGGGGGTATGGAAGGGAGGGGGTGGGGCGGTGAGTTGGTGATGTAATAAAGAGAGTAAGAAACTCGCCCGGAAAGGTGGGTACGGTTCAATGTTAAGTACAGAACGGAGAGAGGTTTTTGAAAAGGGTTTGATGCCACAGAGAAAATGTAGACGGTTTAGAGGTGCGCCATTTGAGGAGCCAGAGCACTTACAGTCTTAGAGTACAGAGGTCATCAGACAGATTGGGATCGTGTTGTGCCTCTCCCCTGTGTGTGTCACACGTAACTACACAACTAACAGCGTCTTTCCGCGGGATGTGTATGGGTATTTAAGCTAGCGTCTTGAATTGTAGCAGCGCTACCTCTGACTCAAGTAGGTTGAGCCACAAATGGGTCTAGTCAGTTGTGACTTTTGATGGAGAATCAAGCAATTGTTCATTATGCCGCATTGAACAGTTGACATCCTTCACCATGCTGAAACGGTACAGCTACAAATCAGGGCTTTCAGGTTGTCAAACCGACGTCATGGTCAACACTTAGTGGTCGGAAACCTTCCGGCAATACACTCATTCATTCAAGGGCCGAGTCGTCAGCCACTTGCCAGAATGGTTGCAAGCTGCAACTTCTGAGCGACCGAGAAGACCATCTTCAGCAGGTTTTGAATATGTCAACAATTACACTGCGAATGTATTAATCAAACTGAAAATTGATTTCTTTGACTGTGGACATTAATAAGCCTGCATGTATCTTGCACCGATGTACACACGTGTGATGTCGATGGACAGCACTTGGTGTTTGGGTTGGACGTGAGGGGATGTATTGATCCAGCAGCCAAATAAATATATTACACATGAGAACACTGGTAATTGCTATGCTGGAAATTTCGTTTAATATGTGCATAGAATATCACACAACATTTCCTGGTGATTTACGTTTTTTGACAGACTGACATTTAGGTTTTCAGTTTGTATAACGCAATCCATTTTTGGTATCCAAACAAAGTGCATAATAGGGTACATGCAGCTAATGGTAGTCCTAGCTGTGGGACTGGTCTGTTTCCATTATAAATATGCTAAACGCCGAGCCATCAGCTCTGATTTAAACATTAAAGTTCCCATTCATCGATAAATACACGACCAGGCGAACATCATAATATCGCTTCATTGCCCCGCCATCACGCTCTCCAGTGTCTTACATAAAACTAAATATCTCTTAGCTTAACTTCAGCTACATGTTTACCGCTCATAGTCCACTGGAGGACACGGTCGGAGCATCTTAAGTATCTGTCACATGAACTCCACCTCTCGCTCTTGCCTCCCCACCCCTTACCCGCTAGCCCCCACTACCACCTTCACCCACCCCAAACAAAATGCCTTTCCTTGTTCACTGGAAGCTGTGGGCAGAGGTATAATTGCTGCTGTCTTTACGCCTAGTTCTCGTTCATATAATAAATGCTGCGGAACTATATCAGGTAGATCAGGTGCATCACATAGAACAGTCCAGTCACATGGACGTGTACGCGCTTCCTCTTTCCCCCTTCTCTTTCTTACTCGTATCCCCAGTATCCCACAGCCATTCAACAGCCTCTCTCGGACATATACATTGTATCTCTTCTCTCCTTCCTATAGTATTTCCTTTTGCTTGCAATATGTGCAAATTACCTGTATCGTGTCTCTGTCTCTATCATTGTCTCTCTCCTCTCACATTTCTATCATTGTCTGTCTCCGTCTCTCTGTGTCTATCATTGTCTCTCTCCGTCTCTCTGTGTCTATCATTGTCTCTCTCCGTCTCTCTGTGTCTACCATTGTCCCTCTCCTCTCTCTGTGTCTACCATTGTCTCTCTCCTCTCTCTGTGTCTATCATTGTCTCTCTCCTCTCTCTGCTGCAGGTTGCGACAGACGTTCTACAGCCTGTTCTGGTCCATGTTCGGCCAAGTGAGCATGAGCGACATCACCGTCATGCACCCGGAACCTGATGGAGGTGAGTGCGCAGCATCTTTCTCGGCACCCCCCTCACTAGAATACCACCATATCCTCATTGCAATAGGCCAAACGATTGATCGTGCTAACTATGCCGGGTAGGCTGCTGTAGGCTGCTGTAGGCTGTTTGAAATAACAAATTCATCCACTTTCTGTAACATTCAGGGTAGTGTAGCACAAAATGATTTACAATTTTGACGTTTGTATCAGATTTGAGGACAGAAAGTACCAAGTGGGCCGCAAGCATCAGAGGGAAGTTATTCCCCTTAGTCTCGGGAGGATTTGCTAGTCGTGGGATCGTTCAATACCTAGCTTCCGAATCATTTGAACCTTGGTTTCCTCACAAGCTGACACGTTGTGATGTATCTGAAATACTGGTCACAGCGCTCGACGTTAAAACAAACCCACTCTCCCCCGTATGCCAGAATTCTCAATTGCTGAATATTCACATTGTTTCTGTTGTATGCATTTTCAGGGACATGACAACATACATCCATTCCTTGGTAAGGTTGATAACATGAGGTTTATTACGGAAATAGAATCACTACCGACATGTCTTTGTAAAAGAAATTCACTATCGGAGCTAAATAATGAAATGTTCTTGCGAATAAGATTGAATAATGAGCGCTTTCCTGCTCTTCTGCTCCTTAAATAATGGAACTGAAACAAGAGGCAGCTTGTAGTGACAGAAGAACTTCCATATCAGGCTTCCCAGTGTATGGTATAGCGCCATGTATGTATATACGTCTTTACAGCATATATAGCTCATTGAATATTCCTTACTACGTAATAACGTGGCCTATGCGCTTGTGCAAAGCTAAATATTCCAAACTACTTCGCGACCTGAACGCGAGAACAGTATGCAGTATTCTTAAACAGAGTGTGACCTTTGACACTGATACGGTACTGCATGCTTTGAACTTCCGGGTTTATGGCTATCTACCAGTATGAACAGATTATAGCGACGGAATCGTGTGTAGCTGTACGAAGAACGCTGGATGAAACATATAAATGACTGCACATACATGGGACAAATGTGTAGGATGATTCCACGAGAGGTAGATTTTATGCCTACACGGTGTTTTCGCTTCTATTTTAGTAATTTGAACCACGAGTAACATTTGTCAGACTATCACGGAATTGATTCTATTTCACGTATCCCAACACCTGACCCTGCCCAGGTGTCTAGAAGATACTGTTGTAGTCTTGATGAAAGTACGTCCAGAGCTTTTAAATGATGATAAATGCACTAGCCACGGACGGGACTGAAATTTAGGCCACTGTTGACAACTTGCCGGATTGGACAGCTGCCGGTTTTGACAGCTTCCACTGTATATTGACAAACTACCATCACTAAAGGTGCTTGTGCGAACCGAAGGCCTGGTTTACCAAACGGTCCTAACACTACGACTGTCTAACCACGTGACAAGTGTTTGTACTACTTCATCAATGACGTAAAGATCGCTTTATTCAAGTGACTCTGGGCAGTCACACGAAGACCTCAGACCTGAGATCAGTGAGTGGACTACGGCGGACTAAATACTGTATGCTGTGACAAAGATTGGGTGACAGACTGGCACACTCCGGAGACCTCAGCAAGGTTTTCAAGTCCATGCAGTGTGTTGTAGAACGTAGATAGATGTAATCTCCTCTTTCAGGCTATGTCTCCAGTGTTGTGGGCGTCGGCAAGGGAGGAGGCGGAGGTAGGCGTGTGTTATAACGTCTTATTGCTATTTACCCTTTGTTCACCATGTGTATTGGCGTTCCAGTTGGGTCTCTACAGCGTGACCTAACACCATCCGTCTACACCGTATAACACAATGTTCATGCACTAGAGTGGCTTACCCTTTCTTGCTCTTAGCCACTAAAGCAAGCAGCCCTGCCTGCGTGTGGCTGCGTATGTGGGTGTGTATGCGTGTGCGTTCTGATGTCTTCTGAGGCGATCAGCTGCAGGGATGTCACTTTCAGTCGTCCTAACCTCGTCTTTGCAGTCAAAAAATGTCAAGTTCTAGACAGTGAGCGTGGCGACATATACTGTACCGACGGCAGCAAACGAGACCCGAACACGCCTCCAGGTACTTGGCATGTGTGTCCTAGCTTCTAGAGGCGACGGCAGCTAGTGTAACTATAGATAGTGTTGTTTCACATGCTTGCTGAATGTGCATGCGTCCAGTGTTGCCGCTAGAGGGAGCTGTGTTCTGTAGCAATTGTTCTGTGACTCCATCAACGACGTCACCAGTTTGATGACGTATGTCGCCATTATTATAATCATTATGACTGCCCCACTATTTGCGTAAGAAGTATATCCAAAATACCTTTATCTTGTGCAACGTGTTAAAAAGAAGGAAAATTTATATATTATTAATTCTAACATCACTGCATTTTTGTTCAATGTTGTTTAAGTCCTATAAAGTTCTGAAACAGAATATGTTATATGTAATGACTATTTTACAAGCAGTCTTGACCCATGTTATATAATCTGCAGATACTGGACAGCCAGTGACAGCAAACATGGGTAGAAGCGCAATGAGTTTAGATTCGAGACGGGTATAGCAAACAGGGCAATAGGGTACTAATAAAGACTATGGATGTCTTCACTGATTATAGAATCTGATTATAGATCGCATTCTTCAACTGTTTACACCCTCACTACACAGTCATCAGATACCGACGCATGATCTGGAAGATATCCAGTACAACCTAGAGTATGACTAGACCACAGTTATGGCTATTGGTACAACCACGAGTATGACTAGACCACAGTTATGGCTATTGGTACAACCACGAGTATGACTAGACCACAGTTATGGCTATTGGTACAACCACGAGTATGACTAGACAACGGTTATGGCTATTAATACGACCAAGAGTATGACTAGACAACGGTTATTGCTATTGGTACAACCATGAGTATGACTAGACCACGGTTATTGCTATCGGTACAACCTAGAGTATGACTAGACCACGGTTATGGCTATTAATACGACCACGAGTATAACTAGACCACGGCTATGGCTATCGGTACAACCTAGAGTATGACTAGACCACGGTTATTGCTATCGGTACAACCACGAGTATGACTAGACCACGGCTATGGCTATTGGTACAACCACGTGTATGACTAGACCACGGCTATGGCTATTGGTACGACCATGAGTATGACTAGACCACGGTTATTGCTATCGGTACAACCACGAGTATCACTAGACCACGGTTATGGCTATTGATACGACCATGAGTATGACTAGACCACGGCTATGGTTATTGGTACAACCATGAGTATGACTAGACCACGGTTATTGCTATTGATACGACCATGAGTATGACTAGACCACGGTTATTGCTATTGATACGACCATGAGTATGACTAGACCACGGTTATTGCTATTGATACGACCATGAGTATGACTAGACCACGGTTATTGCTATCGGTACAACCACGAGTATGACTAGACCACGGCTATGGCTATTGGTACAACCACGAGTATGACTAGACCACGGCTATGGCTATTGGTACAACCAAGAGTATGACTAGTATGACTTATTGGTACCTGCTATGGCTATATTGGCACAAACCAACCACGTGTATGACTAGACCACGGTATACTGGCACGGTTATGGCTATTGGTACAACCAAGAGTATGACTAGACCACGGTTATGGCTATTGGTACAACCACGAGTATGACTAGACCACGGCTATGGCTATTGGTACAACCACGAGTATGACTAGACCACGGTTATTGCTATCGGTACAACCACGAGTATGACTAGACCACGGTTATGGCTTTTGGTACAACCACGTGTATGACTTGACCACGGTTATGGCTATTGATACGACCAAGAGTATGACTAGACCACGGTTATTGCTATTGGTACAACCACGTGTATGACTTGACCACGGTTATGGCTATTGATACGACCAAGAGTATGACTATACCATGTTTGTGGCTATGGGTGTAACTATGGCTATAAATAATATGTGTGACTGGATATACACTCTCAAGATCCATTACGATATGATTGCATGATCAATACATTGATTATATAGACAGACTGGAACAGTGATATGATGACGAGTATAACTGGACTTTGATATGAACATGTTATCAGTCTACGGCTATGATTCCATATGACAATATTTATGACATTATTTGTCACAGTTATTACAATATCTTTGACAATACTCGTACATACAATAATACCAATGACAATATATACAACATTAATGATAATATGTAGAAACAAAATATCTGTTAAATTATATATAACACAACATCTATTACAAAATATCCAACAAGATGAATGAATATATATACGACAATATCTATGATAATATGCCCAAAAAACTATCAAAAGATGTACAACAATATCTATGACAATATATACCACAATATCTATGATAATATGTACAATATCCATGAAAATATATATAAGATCCATAGCAATATATACAACAATATATATGATAATATATACAACAATATCTACGATAATATGCAGAACAATATCTATGATAATATGTCCAAAACCTATCCAAAGTTTTACAACAATATCTATGACAATATATACCACAATATATATGATAATATGTACAATATCCATGAAAATATATATAAGATCCATAGCAATATATACAACAATATATCTGATAATATATACAGCAATATATCTATGATAATATGCAGAACAATATCTATGATAATATGCAGAACAATATCTATGATAATATGAAGAACAATATCTATGATAACATATGCCACAATATCTGTAAACATATAAACGAGAAGACCCACGGCAATCTAAATAATATCAATTATAATATCAAAGAACAAGATTCATGGTAATGTATGCCACAATATCTATGATAACATATACCACAAATCTATGATAATATATGCAAAAAGCTATATATGTACAACAATATCCCTGACTCTCTGCCGTCTAGAATATGTTGTTTAATGTTTATAGTATAAGATAGAGGGTTACTATAGATTGCCTATTATGTCCACATATTGTAAAGGATATATTATGTCCACTTATTGTATAGGGTATATTATGTCCACTTATTGCAAAAGGATATATTATGTCCACTTATTGTAAAGGGTATATTATGTCCACTTATTGTGTAGGGTATATTATGTCCACTTATTGTATAGGGTATATTATGTCCACTTATTGTATGAGGTATATTATATCCACTATTGTATAGGGTACATTATGTCCACTTATTGTATAGGGTATATTATGTCCACTTATTGTATAGTGTTTATTATATCCACTTATTGTATAGTGTATATTATGTCCACTTATTGTATAGGGTATATTATATCCACTTATTGTGTTGGGTATATTATGTCCACTTATTGTATAGGGTATATTATGTCCACTTATTGTATAGGGTACATTGTGGCCACTTATTGTACAAGGTATATTATGTCCACTTATTGTACAGGTATATTATATGCACCATTGTATAGGATATATTATGTCCACTTATAGTATAGGGTATATTATATCCACTTATTGTGTTGGGGGTATATTATGTCCACTTATTGTACAGGGCATATTATGTCCACTTATTGTATAGGGTATAATATATCCACTATTGTATTGGGTATGTTATGTCTACTTATTGTATGGGGTATATTATGTTTACTTATTGTGTTGGGTATATTATGTCCACTTATTGTATAGGTATATTATATGCACCATTGTATAGGATATATTATGTCCACTTATAGTATAGGGTATATTATATCCACTTATTGTGTTGGGGGTATATTATGTCCACTTATTGTACAGGGCATATTATGTCCACTTATTGTATAGGGTATAATATATCCACTATTGTATTGGGTATGTTATGTCTACTTATTGTATGGGGTATGTTATGTCCACTTATTGTATGGGGTATATTATGTTCACATATTGTATTGGGTATTGAATATTAGGCATATTTCATAAGAGACATAGAATAGCGCTTCTGAGATAAGTAAGAATATTTAAGACGGTGTTATATGTTTTTTATACATCATGTAGAATATATTCATATAGTTAAACGTTGTATAGGATATATTTATATGATATTCATAGTAAGTATCAAGTGTGCACCTATATTCATAGATGTATCATGTGGTCACCTTCAGGTAAATTGATAGTACATCTTATGAAGTACACTGACATAACTAATACCGCGCTATATAAACGTGACGAAACAGGCATGGATAACAACTTCTTCATCATAATGTATCAGCAACTCTTCGAGGTGGTTCCTGATGCTGTCAACAAGCAACATCAACACTTCTAGCAAATACTTGTTGACCATGTCGGCAAGAGGTCTATCCAGGGTACTGGAGCTCACCCTTCTTGTGTCTGTGGTCAATCATTGTCCCATCCTGCAGCAGTATCCCGTGCTGGTCTGCGTCCAGTCTTGTTGCCAGAGTGCCTCATGTCGTTAAAGCGTCCGTGTTTGTGAGAGCGCCTCGTGTTGGTCTGAGCGTACTTTGTTGTCCGAGTGCCTGTTGTGAGTGTGGTTCATGTTGCCAGAATGCAGTTTGTTGCCAGAATGTATCGTGTTGTCAGGCGCGTCTTATTGTCTAATGATGTCTTGTCTTTTGTGTAAAAGTGTCTCAGTTTTGTTGTCTTTTCTCACTGTCCGTTGCTTGTCACCTTTCGTCCTCGTGGCTGTTTCACAATACTGTTTTACTTTCTTTGAGATTTTTATTTCAGTTGCATTTATACTTACTTTTTACTCTGTGTATGTGTAAATAGTTAACTTGGCTGTTGTCTTATATGTGGAGGGTCAGTGTCGTGATACAGACATTAATGGGTTCAGGCCACTTTGTCCCAGGTAGGTACGTATTGGTTGGCCTAGGGTGCCTCTTTTATGGACTCAGGTACCTATTGGTATACCTGTCGTACCACTTTATCTACGGTAGGTGTGTATTGGTAGGTCCATAGTGTTGCATGCGTGTGCATCGTTACGTATTGCGTGACTTGTGTTGCATGACTTGTGGGGACACATTATCAACCGTAGGTACGTATTGCTTAACCTGGGATGTCACTTTATCAACCGTAAGTACGTATTTCTTTACCTGTGGTGCTACTTTACCGACCATAGTTACGTATTGCTTTGCCTCTGGTGCCACTTTATCAACCGTTGGTACGTATAGCTTAACTTGTAGTGTAATTTAGATAACATCTTATCGAGGTTTGGTTGCCCGTGACGTCAGTTCTTCAACAGTTAGTACGTACTGGTTTTCTTCTGGTGTTACATATCCACAGGGTACGTAGAATGCAACATTACGAAAGGGTCACACGTACGTAGTGCCCAGTCGTAGAGCCTCGTGACACCGTGCAGTGTTACTGGTAGGTAGATATGTGCTGGCCAAGAATATCCCGTTACAGTATTAACTGCACATGTTTTCAATTTCGAAATATAATTGTTGTCGCCTTGTTAAAGGTAGGTGTGTATTGGTCGGCATGATATCAGAACTATCTCACGGTGAACTCTACATATGTGTTTCCCGGGCAATGATATTACCTTCCACGGGTATAGTTACTTATGAATGGAACAGGTCCCAGGTAAGGTGTATTAATGTAATAATGGTTCTAATGGAACATTTGGATCACAGAGGTGGCGGACACTCAGGAGTGTGGCGCGTTATATCGTTGCCAATTAAATACTAATGTGTCAATACAATTGAACCCAATCTCGAATAATGACCATAGAGAATAAAGCGAAATTTTCTGTTCATTGTGTTCAACTGCAGCGTTCTAGTTTCTGATGTAACTCAGCGTTATAAGTGACCAACATGAACGTTATCCTAACCGCTGACGATGACTTAATGATGTTTCAGTGTTCAAGTCCACCTTGTACGGGTCGTCGAATCAGGACAGCAGCACGTCCATCGTTGAGAGTGTCGGGATGTACCTATTCGGCATCTACCACGTCGTCATCATCATCGTCCTCATTAACATGCTCATCGCTATGATGAGCCACTCCTTCGAAGACATTCAGGTAGGTTTGCGTTGTTTGTAATGTTAACCATGACGCTTTAAAGAAAAGCGTTCAAGGATTGGGTCCCATAAGGATAATCGGGAAGGGTGTCAGCAGGAACTTTTACCATGAAGTCTAATGTACGAGGCATATGGGGTATTCCAGAAAGTTTCTATACTTTATATTCCTTGTTGAAGTTTCGGGTAAAAACAGGGTTCTGTGGATTAGTGTATTAATGGAAATATTGGGTAGTAAATAACGTCCTGGGAATGTGTTCTTAAGGGAAACTTCGGTAGAATAAATCTGGCTAGGGTTTGAGTTCTGCAGGTAAACTTCGATTTGAACATGGTGGTCGGAAAATTGGATTGCGTTTGAATCATCACCATACCCTTACTCGTGAACTTCCTGAACTGTCAAAACGTCTCCAATTTTTGTCCAACATCACACTGCCGTGTCGTGATATACCTAATAGTGACCCAAGCGGCGTTAAACCAAACCCTCACGTGTTTCAGACTGACTGCGACGTGGAGTGGAAGTTTGCCCGAACGAAGCTGTGGCTGAACTACATGGACGAGGGCAGCACCCTGCCGGTCCCCTTCAACATGATCCCCACCCCCAAGTCCTTCTACTATGTGTATATATTCTTTAAAGACTTGATAAAACATAGCAAAAACGGATTCCTAGAATATGAAAAGAATAGAAAGCAGACGTTTCTTAAGGTAAGTGTAATAATATTCTAGCTTAATAATATTATTCCTTACAACTATGTGTTTTGGTTTGTGACAGGATTTTTAAATAGTGTACGCTTCAACTTCTAATGTATTTTAACCTTTTCAGCAATTGTTTAAAACCCCGAAACATTAGGAAAAGGAGCCTGGGAAAATCAAAATTACAAATTGATAGACGGGAGTGTGCCTTCAACGCTCCAGCTAATTGGGAATACAACGGGGAGGCACCTCAGTTACTTGTCGTATATAATACTGACATAAGATGAGCATGTACTTCACCCTGACATTAAGTAGTTTCCATCTCTCATAAGAAAATAGTGCTGAAACAAGCGTGTGACACACTCAACGCACTGCTCAGGGACAGCCTACGTTCGGAGAACAGTAGTCTGTCTCACAGTCCCTGAACCACATTAATTTCCCTACTGCCAAGCCCTCTCTGCAGTGCTAAAGCCCTAAATAAAGCAAGTCTAGATTTCCTCAGGTTCTGAATCTCTGGTCTCCCTAGGGCTCCTTTTCAATATAAATGGTCTTTTTTGTTACTATCAAAATTATATATATTCAGAGACTAAGCCTTAGTCTAGGAGAACAGCTGAGATCTCCACATTGAGCACTCCCCTACTGGAGAGGTGTTTCATAGGCGCTACATTGAGATACACGTGGCGCCGTGGAAACATCTACCTAGTGGGGGCAGCAATACGTCATCGCGTCACGACATCACCTACACAAAGAAATTGTAGTGCACCTGACCAGCGGGGACAGTGATACGTCTTTTTAACATAGAAAATGTAGTATATTTATCTAGTGATCGTCAATGTTGGCATAAGCCATAATTATTAATCAAGTTAATAGCAGTTATTGAGTACACAGTGAAGGATGCGGACGAATCAGGCTTGGCGTGATGATTTTACGACGCTTCTAACACTTCCTTTCTTGCACTTACAGAAACGTCGCGAGACCGTTTGCAAAACGCTGGAACTAAAGCCTGATGAGACGTCATATATAGACATCATGCATAGGCTGGTAAAGAGATACCTCTTCAAGCTGGAGAGAGCTAAAGATGAAACTGGTACGTATAGGGTTGGTATTGACCAAAGACACCAGTAGCCGGTTGTCACCAAGATTGTGTGGGGTAGCGCACGTGTGTCTGTGTGTGCGGATGTATCTGTTAAATACATACAAATGTGTTTGAGGAAATAGAGCATTTCAATAAAGGCTGCTTGAATAACATTGTTTGAATGATACAATGATACAATGATACAATGATGAATGCTTGAATACTGTCTAAGTTTCACTTGACATGAGAAGAACCCGTGTCGGGTATACGTCACTATTGGCTGGACTATACAATGAGCTCAATGGAATCTATATCTGCCGGAAGCTTGCACCCATATATGTTATGTTTTGCTTGCTATGTAAGCTTGCGTTGAGCCAAGATTCCAGTAAACAGAATGTAATCCATTACATGTACATCCTTTCATGGTTCATATCTCGATAGCTTATGCCCATTCTTGAAAAGTCAAAGTATAACTCTGCATTCTTTTAAATTGGCAGGTAAAATATTTATTACAAAACTCACTCCAACCACAGACATAAACACAAGGTTGTGTTCTTGGTACCCAGCAAGTTCTGTGGTAACAGAATCGTAAGACATTTCTGCACATCCCTGTCGAACACCACGTTGACATCCTCATCAATCCGATACCTCATTATTCCATTTCACGTGTGTTGACGACAATGTGCCATTGCAAACTTCTGCTCCATTTAGTTGTGTTTACCTTGTATTAACCAGCAGCACTAAAAGACATGGGTAACATACGAGCGGAGGAGGTGGAGTTCATAGAAGCCCCAGAAGTGCCCCCGCCGCCAATACCGACCGATACGCCTAGCCGGATACCCTTCGCCACGCCCCCTATACCCGAGGAGGAAGGGGAGGATAACTCTAAATCTGACGGTGAGAGTTCTATCTGGCGTGGACGCCGCTACTTCACAGTATGCAGACACTCAGTGACGTACCGTCTATTTGATATTATCCTAACCAGTCTTCGGCTTCCAGCTATTATCACCGCCTTTAGAAATGAGGTTCCTTCATGTGTAGGGCTCCACAGCCTGTTCTTAACATGTACATGTGGTCCTATACAACATTGGCATACACCTTCGGTCAAGCAGTCACCGTCGATCGACTGTGTCGTTTATGTTAATAAGATAGTTACCGTGAACAGTCTATTGGTTGTATAAATAGTCATCGTGAGCAGTGTCGTCCGCGTTCAATATAGTAGCCACCAACGACAGTGTCGTTCGTGTCCGGAAACTAGTAAAGTAGTAACTGCCGTCACTGTTGCAGGTCGGGCCACCGCCGTGTCAAAGAGGAAGAGCAGTAACAGGAGCCATCACAACCGGCGAACGTCCATGGCCAACGTTCCCATGACAACAACGACCCTGGCTATCCCCCAGCTGGACGCTATCCAGAGGTCACAGAAGCTCCTTGATGTGCGGCTCCAGCACCTACAGGCGAACAGCAAGGAGAACAACCGTCTCCAGGACGATGTAGAGTTCATACGCAAGTTGATGACGGAGAACCAAAAGGCTTTGTGCAATGTGGTGCAGGCTTTGGCCAACATTCAGGGCGAAATTGTCAACTTGGCTCAGTGCCTAAAGCCAGCACCGAGGCCCCAGTCAAACGCCATTCCTAACGCTCATGGTCAGACTAACGCTGTGTCGTCCAATCGTGCTTCCAGGAAGAGGTCGGGTCCTGAGGAGGACGACACCAAGGTCTGACAGTGAGACGAGGTGGACATCGTGTTCCTGATGTGGAGGTGTACTAGAAGGCGATGTGTGATACCGAGGGGCACTCACGGTCACTCGGTCACCTCGCCTTCCCCTGGGTATTGCTACCGGGTGTATAGGACTCTTTCTGAAGTACCTAGTTACTCCAGGCACACAAGCAACATGTCGATATTTATGCTGTCGTGAGATTAAGGGCGCCAAGATGTTGAGTTCTGTAGTGCGGGCACTACACATCCCCGGGCACATGTCGTCACTCGTCACGATGTCCAGAGTGGGCACATGACGTCATATTGTTCCTGCGCGAGTACATGACGTCATAGTTTCCCAATGGGAGCACATGTGGTCAAGGTGTCCGTGTGGCCACAATATAAAAGTTAACAATGTATTTACAGGGGACAGCTTTAGTAGTGAATTCTCGGCATCCCCTGTCGCCAGCAGCTCCTGCTAGGTTTCGCTACACACATTATCGGCCTTGACCTTCAACGAATGTGTCCGGACGTTGTGGTGGTGGATTCCTTGAGCTGCGTTGTTATTGAGAATGGCAGGGATATTATACTGTACCGTGCAGTCGACCACGACCACGGATATATATACATGCTGACGGCACCAATATGATTTATTTTTTTCTTTCTAGTTACTTCGTGAGATGTCAATGTGCATGTAACTGAAGCTGTTCTGAGAGCCCATCGTGACCTTCCACTCATATAGCTACCCTTTCTTTGACTAACAGTAATCTGCGTTGTATGATATGATAATGAACGAAGCTTTATTTCAGCTTTGCTGTTTGCTGTATGTGTATTTGTTACGTGTGTTAACCTTTAGCATTCAGGTGTGGTCCGTTGTGTTCGACCCTCAGCAACACAGGTGTGTTTTAAACTTTCCAGTGTTTTAACATTGCGATCCCTAATTCAGGGAGGGCCAATGTTAGCTTACCGTGGCTTTCAATTACGTTAGATAATAGCCTCGTTTTGAGAATCTCAGCATGTTTCTTCTCATGCCATCTTCCTCTAGGTTCCCACCCCCGGCTCCATGGATATACAATACCAATGTGTAAAAAGATAGGTAGACAACACCTTTTTGTTTGTGTGTGGTTAAGTGGTTATTTTGACGAATTGCGGATTTGAATATAGCCACAAAAAGTCTTTAACTTGCATTGTGTTCAATACAAACTCTAGCCCTTTCAGAAATAAAACTAACAGATTTGCACCCGCGGGTGAGTTCTAACCATTACATATGCCAGGGTGGCTCCACAATAAAGTTTGGCAATACACAGCTTGCAATAGCACCGATTAGATTAATTAATTCCAAACACAAGTATGTAGTTATCATCACGTTGTTCTTTCATCAGCTAAAGTCATGGCAAGTACCAATACCAGTCTGAGAGAGGTGCTCAGCGAGCATCGTGCCTCTGCTATAAAGACTTCCCCTCTCCTCTGTACAGACAGTTATATAAAGTATGTGTATATTCATGTACACCGGCAAAGGTATTGCTACATAGACCAGCTGGGAACATAGTCATATACACCCACGGTGTATATAGCCATATAACCAAGTGTGTGTATAGCCATATATTGTGTGTATAACTATATACACCAAACGCGAAGACAACCAATACATCAACTGTCAGTATAGCTATATACACCAACTTTAGACTGAGCCATATACGCCAAGAGTGTGTGTATATAGTGTGTACAGTCATTATCATGAACTGTTTGTAGCCACACGCATCACTCGAGAGTACGTCATTATATCTGAGCTAATTCAAGAGCTATATTACGAAGTGTGAGTAGAGCTACACCTGTGTACATGCATATAGCACCGTATACCTTGATGCAGCCAGATGCGAATGTATTGAATGCGGAAGCGTGATACTGAAGGGTTGTGAAGTCGTTGCAATATGGCTGATTGGGTAGGGTGGGGCGGAGGTCACGTCAGGTGAACTTTCTAATCAACCAATCAATATCGAGGCTTCTATATTATTAATACGAGTGGGTGAATAGTTTTGACAAGCATTTCTTTATATCGAAAATGATGACAGTCGGGGAGTTCCGAATGCGCAAAAGTAAATCTGCGCCATTGTGTTGTAGATATTTATACATTCTGTCGTTTCTGAGCGCCATGGTATATACACTCATGCCTTTCCAGTGTATGTTTGTATTTTGTTGCGGTTACTTTTGCTAGTGTCGAAACTTCCAAATCGAGGTGTAAAGAAATAAAACCGGATTGGTTTGGGTAGCTGACATCTGATGGGCTCGAGAACACCATCATTCATTTTGGTGATGAATTTTGTTCAGGGTTCACCGGACGTGATCTTCTAAAGAGATGTAAATGTAATGATTGCCATGCGTGATTCTCCAACATTGTTAGTGGTTAGTTCATGTCACCATTAACCAATAGACCTGTAGCTTCCAGACACCCACCGTCTTGAACGTCTTGGAACAAACTTGCTGGGGTTGAAGATTTGTCACATAGAACTCTGTTAGATGCTTTCAAAACCCTGGTTAATTACCAGCGTTGAGAACACACATCCGTCTGCATCAAGTAGATCTAGTTTATTTCTGTTTGTAGTTACAATGATTGTTATCGTAAATGTCTTTCAGAAGAGCCGGAAATGTTAGCAATGGTGTATAACCTCGGCCGCCGTCCGCCAGTCACCGGAAGTTGGATGTATACAATATGCTAGTTACCAATGATTCTAATACAGGTACCCATCTCTACAACTCTGAATGGCATATGTATTTATACACACCTAACTGCCTGGCTGTCACAAATATGCACTTAATAAATAAAGGTCCTTGAAATTCTATGGTTAGTGCAAAAGACATGAGGGTTGTCTCCCCTTGGCACTTTTTAATCCAGAAGATGTCCTTCTTTCTATGACAATGCCTTCTGATGTGATGATGCAGCTGAGTGAGCGGGGTTAGCCGTGTTGTAATAGAGTAGATATGTGCTTCAAATCATATTGTGACCGATTCATTTGTCATCATTCTTGTGCTTTTTAAAATATTTTGTGTTGTAAATCTAGACATTGCGACTATGGTTGATAATGTGTTTGCCCGGTATTATACTCTAATACCTCGTCGACCAGTACCCACGACACATCCTTCTGTGACGGCACTGGGGAGAACGCTCTGCTACTGTTTGCGTTTGTTTACATCCAAATTTCTTTAATCACAACACACCTCACCAAAAATGCCAGCTGCTCCTACTACATGTACTTTCTCAGCTTCTCCAACTCACCCCTTTCCATCTCACCTAACAACTATCGCTAACCCCCCTCCCCCCCCTCTCTCTCTAATTGATCAACACCCCACACCCACCCACACCTCACACGCACACCGTCTCAGTCCGATTGTCCCCCGTTCCATCTGTGCCAGTCACTCTCATCTATGCCTGTTCATCTAATCCAGTGCGACGCTTATTAGAATTCCCCCCCATCTCTGTACGCGCTCCGAGTAAAGTCTGCGAAATCAAGTATCTATGGACTATGTCACCCATTGTTACAGTGATAAAGGATGTTATATCATATAGGATGGAGTTGGGTGGGAAGATGTTAAGGTGGTCCAGGATACTGGATCACACAGCAAGGGGTGGATGGTAAGGAGTAAGGGTGGTACAGGGTATACATATCGCACTATTGGCTTTGGTTGAAGACTAGCCATGCGGCATTCTTGTTTCCTTTCAGGTGGTGTGCAGTGGTTTACGTTGCTTGTGTATGGTCATCAGCAGCTGCTGTTGTAACTCCACTTAACGTTTCTGATGCAATACACTAAATGTCAACGTCATTAACTGTTTTCAAGAAACAATATGCAAATTTTGATAGCGTTCCCATAACCTTATAGTTGTCTACACCCAGTTACGTAAGGAGGGCAGTCTTGTGCAGAGTGTGTTGACTCCTCCCCTGCTGGCGACGCCACTCGCCTGGTTCCCTCCACAATGTCAGCCACACTATATATGGCTGCTAGAACCGGAACTATCATTATAACTGATTGTGAAACGTTCCTTTATGCCTATGTACAACAGCCCACAGATTTTGCTGGCCTAGTTCTAGTAACCCACGTGACGAAGACATGAACCCAAGCATGAAACCATGTCCCCATGTATGTTATAACAAGCCTCGCATTCCAGGACCAATGAATGACGATACAACATGTATAAGAGTATATTTATAACACATAAGGTATCCCTATACTCATCTATGACGTAATAACAAGTACAAGTTCAGCACATTTGTTGACTTTTGTAGCTGTACGTGAGTACAGGCCTACAGTTCTGTGATGCAACTTTATTACCAAGAAGGGATTCCTTATAATAATATGTGATAAAATACGCATAAAAACAATAAATGAGATGCATATGCACAACAGAGATGACATAAACAGACGTTCAGGTAATGACGTTATAACACCTACAGCAGACTTATACAAGTGTTATGTTATATGAAATAACACTTATATACGACATGAGGATATCACCTTTAAACTGTGTATCAAATATGGCAGGATTAAGGCAGTTCAGCTTCAAACAAGGACATGCTAGTTAGGACTTTCAGAGAATTCGGCTACTCTGCGACAGGTGGGAACCAGGTGACTATCGATCTCCAGTAGTTGTTTTTGTCTGAATTCAGAGTGTACTGGTTCGCCCTATTAGATGATATTCTTACAAGTTTGATGGAATTTGTTGCTATGTTTACGAAAATAATTTATTGATTGAATAAATGTTTGAAATAATATTGACTATTATAAAGGAATAAACTTCCAGTCCGGTTATGTTGTTTGTTCTCAGTCCTTGCTTCACAGCAATACAAACAGTCACAAAGACAGAGGACCACTTCCTTGCCTCACCTGGAATATACACTAATCAAGGTGCACAACATACATATCTCACCTGGAATACCTTGTAAAACAAACGCACACGGCACATATCTCACCTGGAACATACACTAATCAAGGTGCACAACATACATATCTCACCTGGAATACCTTGTAAAACAAACGCACACGGCACATATCTCACCTGGAATATACACTAATCAAGGTGCACAACATACATATCTCACCTGGAATACCTTGTAAAACAAACGCACACGGCACATATCTCACCTGGAATATACACTAATCAAGGTGCACAACATACATATCTCACCTGGAATACCTTGTAAAACAAACGCACACGGCACATATCTCACCTGGAATAAACACTAATCAAGGTGCACAACATACATATCTCACCTGGAATACCTTGTAAAACAAACGCACACGGCACATATCTCACCTGGAATATACACTAATCAAGGTGCACAACATACATATCTCACCTGGAATACGTTTGTAAAACAAACGCACACGGCACATATCTCACCTGGAATATACACTAATCAAGGTGCACAACATACATATCTCACCTGGAATACCGTTGTAAAACAAACGCACACGGCACATATCTCACCTGGAATAAACACTAATCAAGGTGCACAACATACATATCTCACCTGGAATACCTTGTAAAACAAACGCACACGGCACATATCTCACCTGGAATAAACACTAATCAAGGTGCACAACATACATATCTCACCTGGAATACCTTGTAAAACAAACGCACACGGCACATATTTCACCTGGAACATACACTAATCAAGGTGCACAACATACATATCTCACCTGGAATACCTTGTAAAACAAACGCACACGGCACATATCTCACCTGGAATATACACTAATCAAGGTGCACAACATACATATCTAACCTGGAATACCTTGTAAAACAAACGCACATGACAGATATCTCTTCCGGAATACGTTGTAAAACAAACGCACACGACAGATATCTCTTCCGGAATACGTTGTAAAACAAACGCACATGACAGATATCTCTTCCGGAATACGTTGTAAAACAAACGCACACGACAGATATTTCTTCCGGAATACGTTGTAAAACAAACGCACACGACAGATATCTCTTCCGGAATACGTTGTAAAACAAACGCACGACAGATATATCTCTTCCGGAATACGTTGTAAAACAAACGCACACGACAGATATCTCTTCCGGAATACGTTGTAAAACAAACGCACATGACAGATATCTCTTCCGGAATACGTTGTAAAACAAACGCACATGACAGATATCTCTTCCGGAATACGTTGTAAAACAAACGCACACGACAGATATCTCTTCCGGAATACGTTGTAAAACAAATGCGCAAGTGGAGGTAGAGGTGAGGTGAAATAGGGTTTAACATGGCACGTAAGAATATTTCGCTCATATGACGACATGCATGCGTGTGTATGTGTATGTGCGGCTGCTTGTACTAGCCTAGACTTAAGCTGGTTTTATATTGCTAGCTCACTGAGCTACCTTGCCACAGTTAGGCATGAATACCCCACTCAGACACATTATACTGACTCTGAGCAGACCAGTCCTTGTTGCACCCATTAATGCCGAGCGCCCGGCATTTTAGTCTTTTGGTATGACGCGGCTGGGGATCGAACCCGCGACCTTCCGCTCTCCGGGCGAACGCTCTAACCACTACACCACGGAGGCGGTTTATCTCAAGTGGAATATGGTCATATACAAGAGCACACTGCACATATGAAGTCCGTGAAGGTCCAGTAACTGTAACGGTAAAATCGTTGCACATCACCTGACATTCCGTGGGTGACCGCAGACAGAGCAGAACTTTGTTCCCTTCAGGGCATGTTATAATTCTATATTTACCATGGTGACGATTTACAGATCTGTCATACTCAAGTTATCCATTTAAAATTTACAAATTGGCTGTCAGTTTGTTCATTAAGATACCATTTTTACATTGAAAAAAAGGACACTAAAGATTATCAGTTTGTAAAATTGGTTAATTCTGATAAAATATTTATCATTAAAGTTATAATGAAATACACCAGCTTATGTGGCTTATTCGAAAAGTGTTGGGGTTTTTTCACTTTCACCTGGCAGATCATGACTAGATTTTAAGTAAACTTGATCTGGTAAAGTATATAAATATACAACCCTGTCTTCAACCCTGTTTTTAATAATGTTCACGGCGCCTCCAAAATTAGGACGCGCCATGGATTAACATTTATATCAGCACTTTGTAAATGATAGGGTATACTAGCTTAAAGAACGGCCTTGCTCAATGTTAGTCACTTAACAAAACGTAACACGAATATGTTTATTGTGTGTCAACATCAACGCACACACTCCTTTCACCAAGCCACGGGATTGACACCAACCAATGACAGGCGCTTCGGACATGCAGTCAAGTGAAGCTCTCGTAAAATTATACAAACTCTACCAGGCGTGATTGCTGCTGCAAACAGGATGACAAAACACACGCGAGTTTGTGGTTACAGTGTTTATTTGTGAAAAAAACCCTTGGCCAGAACCCTTTCAGGTCAACAGGTATGTCCAGTTTAGTAGTTTGTTCTATTACTAGAAGTGTCATATAGCAGGAGGGAACCACAAGAGATATACATGATATGACGTACAAAGGAAACCTACGTTTGACGGTTAGAAATGAAACAAAAAATGGTTATTCGTTCGTTTCATACGGCATCATAGTCGTGATTTAGACATTTGTTCTAATGTGCCCAGGCACAATCTCCTTTATATCTGCACAATATACACATATTAAGGAGATTTGACAAGAAGAAATATCTGAACTCGTCTTACACACACACACGCGTACGCACACATACACACGTGTGAATATTTTCTTGGCAGCGTTGGAAAACAAATTGTTTTGAAATGAAAAACGTGTGTTAATAGTGAGAATGAATAGACGGCTTGATAGTGCACGGTAAGCGCATAGTTTGTTGGATACAGTTGGATCCCCAGAGCTCGTACACACACGCACACATGAATGCTCTCCAAGTGAAAGATCATCAATATGAAGATGAATTTCGTTTTTCCGATTAACTTCTGTGTAAATATATTGTTTTCCATTCTGTTTTCATTTTAAACTGAAAATTTCCTCAACAGTGTTCGACGTAATTCAACGTTGAGGTGAATGGACCGAAACCCAGTTGGTATGGTATCAACAGATAAGATAGGATTTTATGCGGTGTCTTCCTTCCGATACTCCTGCGTCGTCGTGTTGCGTGATCTGTGATACGGCTGGGTAATCTGGTTGTTTCCCTGAGTGTGTGAACCCGGTGCTAACGCATGCGTGATATTACCTCTAATCAAAATAAAGCAGCCGGCACTGCTGCTTATCGATGTTACTGTACCTCCACCCAAACGCCGTATCACGGAGATGGCGCTCCAATATGGCGCTTTAATTAATGGACGTGTATAATGTTAAAGAAAAATAAGACGGGAATACACAGGTGATGGGTTAACCCAACACTAAAACAAAGGAGGAAGTTTGCACATAACACAAGGATTACACTGGGACTTAAATCCGTTTGATTAAAGGGGATCGGGGAATCCCCTCGCCTAGCAGGGTTACCACTGTACACGGTCAACACACACACTGCAAGACCTGCGTGATTTACAGTGTATCAGTCAGCCACAGACACTGGTTTCATCAGTCAACACACACACTGCAAGACCTGCGTGATTTACAGTGTATCAGTCAGCCACGGACACTGGTTTCATCAGTCAACACACACACTGCAAGACCTGCGTGATTTACAGTGTATCAGTCAGCCACAGACACTGGTTTCATCAGTCAACACACACACTGCAAGACCCGCGTGATTTACAGTGTATCAGTCAGCCACAGACACTGGTTTCATCAGTCAACACACACACTGCAAGACCTGCGTGATTTACAGTGTATCAGTCAGCCACAGACACTGGTTTCATCAGTCAACACACACACTGCAAGACCTGCGTGATTTACAGTGTATCAGTCAGCCACGGACACTGGTTTCATCAGTCAACACACACACTGCAAGACCTGCGTGATTTACAGTGTATCAGTCAGCCACAGACACTGGTTTCATCAGTCACACACACACTGCAAGACCTGCGTGATTTACAGTGTATCAGTCAGCCACAGACACTGGTTTCATCAGTCAACACACACACACTGCAAGACCTGCGTGATTTACAGTGTATCAGTCAGCCACGGACACTGGTTTCATCAGTCAACACACACTGCAAGACCTGCGTGATTTACAGTGTATCAGTCAGCCACAGACACTGGTTTCATCAGTCAACACACACTGCAAGACCTGCGTGATTTACAGTGTATCAGTCAGCCACAGACACTGGTTTCATCAGTCAACACACACACTGCAAGACCTGCGTGATTTACAGTGTATCAGTCAGCCACAGACACTGGTTTCATCAGTCAACACACACACTGCAAAGACAGTGTATCTGCGTGATTTACGTGAGTGTATCAGTCAGCCACGGACACTGGTTTCATCAGTCAACACACACACTGCAAGACCTGCGTGATTTACAGTGTATCAGTCAGCCACAGACACTGGTTTCATCAGTCAACACACACACTGCAAGACCTGCGTGATTTACAGTGTATCAGTCAGCCACAGACACTGGTTTCATCAGTCAACACACACACTGCAAGACCTGCGTGATTTACAGTGTATCAGTCAGCCACAGACACTGGTTTCATCAGTCAACACACACACTGCAAGACCTGCGTGATTTACAGTGTATCAGTCAGCCACGGACACTGGTTTCATCAGTCTACACACACACTGCAAGACCTGCGTGATTTACAGTGTATCAGTCAGCCACAGACACTGGTTTCATCAGTCAACACACACACTGCAAGACCTGCGTGATTTACAGT